TAACCGTACGGACTCGCCGATTCACTGTTCCGACTCGCCGATTCCGTACAGTTAATCGGCGAGTCACTGTACAGAATCGTCCGGTTCTCTCTAAAACCGGACGATTTCCGATTTTTCAGTCGATTCGATCCACTTTTGCGATTTCTGAGTCGAACCGGGCGAGTCCGGTTCGACTCGGCGTTTTTTAAAACACTGCTTAAAAGTAATGAATATAATTATTTAAGTGGTCTCTCGTAACTAGGCTTTGGCCTTTGCAATTGGTATCAACTTAAACAGGTGGATCAAGAACTCACCAATTTTTGCGCACATATGTTTTGTGTGTCAGACAGAGAATGTGAGCAAGAATAGAGAGAGGACATCTAAAACAGTCTTTTCTTTTTGGAAATAGTTAGGCCTAGTTTTTCTCCGGACCAGCCATGACAAAGATATAGCCCTACTTGCAATTTTAGGACAACCTCAGAAAAATTCAGGGAAATTTATCAAAATATACACAAAATATTAACTATTTAACATTGATCCAAAACTTTCGATTTAATTTCAAAATACTCATCAAAATATGATGACTATTAGGTGTTGAATTATTGAAAACTTAGGTGTATTTTGATAAAATCTTCAAAAAAGTACTCTTAAGTAGTCTTAGTCAAATTAGAAAAATAAAAATGTACAAAGAGACCATTTACTTGAAGTACAAAAAAATCATAGTTGCGAACGAAAGAACTTTAAGTACAAGGAAATCATAATTGCTAACAACAGAAAAATATATTTTTTTTAGTCTTGTGAGAGTTTCCGTAGCATTTTTGGGATATTCAATTTGAAAAAGATAATCTCGAATTGCAAGGGACCAAGCTTGCACACCTATCATTCTTAAATGGGTGCACGGAAAAATGGCGCTACGGTGAAATTTAGTCTTGCCAAACGGAGCGTTAGTCACAATTTTCTTTCGAAAGAAGACAGAGGTGGGAGAGAAGGAGGGCAGTCCAAAGCATGGCGAACATTTCACTGATATTAATATTAGTTGAAATTTCAAAGTTCGGTTTAAGATGTAAATACAACGCATTTACATAATATGTGCAAGACATGTCAAAAATTCATTTAGAATGAAAAGAAATGAAGATCAAGCACAAATCAAGCCTAAGTCTATTTCACCTTCCCAATAAATTTTCAAGAATTAATTTAATGTCCACCTTATTGAATACTAAGTAGTCACATTAAATTAGATTTTACATTATATTCATCCTCATGAATAGAGCCCCAATTATGATGCAATGTTGCTGAAGATTGCAAGCGCCTTCAATTCGAATTTCAACACATTTTCCTTAGAATATGAAATCTTTCACTGTCTGAGATATTCCCATCTCTCGAGCCTCAATTTCACAAGTAAAACGGATGAAGTTCATCCCTCTCAAAAAAAATTCAATCCCCATAATCCAAAAACTTAAATCCAATGATCAAATCTGAAATATGCTTCGACTCTTTGCTCTGAAACACCGATCCAACCTGTCCCATAACCCATGTTTAATTTCAGATGATTTCATAAGGCTCCTTGAACATCGCCATCTCACTCAACTCCACAAATGAATCCACCAAGTTTTGAAGCCTGGCCACAAATTCTATCAACAGAGAAGCAAAAGTAGCCAAAGACAAGCCACTAGCACTCTCATAAATTCTCTCTTCTTGCAGATTGCTGGTTACATCGAATACATCGAAACACGATGCATGTCTTGAAGGCCAAGATACCTTCTTATGGAGAACTTTGCCCTTGGTTCCCACATGAGACCCATGGTTAACAGCACCTGCAGAATATCTCAGGTCCCAACTCTTGGACAACACCAGTTCTCCTAAGCCAAGCACTGCCTCACTTTTAGACTTCACTCCAATAATATTCTCCATGTATTCAGTGTCCATTCCAATTTCATAGTTTTCTTGGCGTGTCCCTATCTCCCATCTCTCAGAGTTGACGAGGAGATACGATTGCTTGTCGATTTTCTTTTGGAGATCATCAGCTGCTTGGTGCACTTCTAGGAGGATATCCTCATGGCCCAGTTTCTCCATGGACTTAATCTTGTTTCCAAGCTCACGAAGAACTTTAGCACCCTCTGTGCTAACCCTCTTCATCTCTTGGCTGAATGCACGTCTCCTCTCTAATGGTGCCTGTAATCCCATAGTTTAGTAATAATCCAATTGTTAAATATGGAAAGAATAAGGAGGGCAGTAAGTTATGCTTGTTTGCAAGAACAATATAAGTAACACCTGGAAAAAGAGCTCGGGTCGTGATAGTAGCACCCCTACAGCCTAGTCACCACATTGTGGTTTTGTTCCCATTTTCACTGACATCACCCCACTAGCACCTTCAAATTTCACTGACATCGCCCCACTAATACCTTCAAAAAACTAACGCCTAAATTATTTGAAAAAACAGGTAGGGGCATGCCTTCTCCACTGAATTATCCCATATATATATATATATATATTAGGTGACTTGTTCAATTAAATATTTGACATGGATATGACCTAGTTTGCCTGTGATGTATCGAGTATTGGATATGACTTAGTTTTCATGTGATGTATCGTGCAAGTTTTTGTTACAACCACATATAAGTGTGTATATATTTGACATGGATATGAATTATCAGAAATATGAACTTTAAAATTAATATTTTTCAAATAGGGGGTTTATCTAAAGAATAGACATGGAATATTAGGTGCTATGAAGTACTTTTATAGCAATGTTAAAAAAAGTTAAAATGAGGTTTATTAAGTGTGAGACATAAACACCGTGTCCTTAATGTATTAACACATTCAACTAACCATATGAGCCTTTGTTTCATAGTTATAGATCCATTGTATGAGATGAGAAATGGCTAAAAGAGAGTTAATACGATAAAAGAGCAAAGAATGTATACCATGTAATATAGTTCGATAAAATATTTGAAGCCTTAGTTTCCGTTTCGAAACTCTTTCCTTGGAAGAACCATCTCTTCATAAGAAATTAACCATAAAATTTTCTTTTTTGTTTTCCTTTTTATCGTTCATGGAAAGTCGAATGATCATATATACATATATGTGTGTGGAAGCCACTTTACAATTCCTATAGGCGAAATGGTACAGTGATTTTGCCTATAAGCACATCGCCATCCGATTTTTCAGACAACAAGGATTAAAGAGCGTCATGGAAATGTCCATGGCCGTAACACATCACTGACATAGCATGGCCATGGGGGTAAAAAAAACATGCGAAGGCAGGCACGGACTGTGCGCCGTCCAATGAGGCGTTGTTCAATAAACCACCACGGATATAGCATATATGTGGTGGGGCTAAACGCTGTTCAAAATCACGTATATGCATTTTTAAGAGTTTTCATATATATATATATATATAAGCATGGTTTGCATTAGTATTGTAAAACATGATGATTTCCAATCCGGATCACCAATCTAAGTGAAAATTGGCCGAGTCTGAACCACTATGATATGAGTTTGGCTCGATTCCCCCCTAAAACTTCCCTTTTCATATTTTTCTCCCCTTTTTTTATGCTTATCTTTCTTTTTTTTTGGGTAATTCAGTGAGGAAGATATGCCCCTATCCGTTATCTATTGTTTTCTTGGATCCCCTTAAATCCTAACCCTATAAATTCCTATATTAATTTATTTTATCTTATTTTTTTATATTTTTTTTTATTACTAATTCAAACCAATTCAAACTAGATCAAGATCGATGATCCAGTAATTCGACACAAGTTAGTGGGTGATTTGTAAAACACTGATTTGTACTAATATCCAACCCAAACCTATTTGAGTTTCGACGACCGTCAGTATTCAACTTGTGGAATTGGAAATCATCCCATTGAATAGCTCGGTTCTGTCGTATAACCAAGCAATGTACCTCGAAAAATAGGTGACCTGAGTTAGGGAACTGAGCAATTTCCAGCTAATTTAATTTTTAATATTTTTTTTACTATATTTTAAATTTTTTATCTCTGAAAAATAGGCATTTTGGACTACAATTATTTATCCAGGTCCGTTCACTAGAGGAGCAATCTAGATCCAATTTCGGGTTTTAAAACACCTAGTTATATAATGTTTTTGGCCAATTACTCGCTTATCACCTATATAGCAATGTATTTAGGTAAAATATTATTTAAGTGGTACTAACCTCTAAAAAAATAATTAACGTGGTAAAAGATATTTAAATAATATCTTAAATTAGGCTGAAATTGTTCTTGTTCAGGGTTGGAAACCTAAACAAATATAAGCCTTTCAATAATTTGATAAATCTTGAACAAGCAAGGGTATTCCCATTATGTAGTTAGGATACACGCCTCTAACAAAATCATTAAGGCAGTAAAAGAGATTCTAATTGACATTAAAGGCTTCAATTCTTATTTTTTGTTTCACTCAATTGTATATTAAAAAACTACCTTAAACTATGCTGAAATTGCTCTCGTTTAGGGTTGGGAAATCTGAACAAGGATAAAGTTTTTAATAATTTGATAAATCTTGAACAAGCAAAAGTACTCCGATCATTTGGTTGGGACCTTTTAGATGGTCAAATTACTACACCCTTGCTCATTTGTGGTTCTACTTTCCAACTAACTTGGACAATTTTAAGGAGGAAGTACGTAAGTAAAATCAAAACTAAAAGGTAAACTCTATAAAACTATTTAATGTTAATTGATTTGTGTTGAGTCCCTTAATAATTTTATAAGATGTTATGACCTCTTAAATGATTTTGTGCCCAAACAAAATTATTAGAAAAGAGTGGTCCCCTTCATGACTGGCATGCAGATAGAGGCTCATATGCAGCGCCTAGCGGTGCAATGTCTCAGCCTTAGAAAATAGTAACCTTTCACTTATCCGAACCTGATACAAAAAACACATGCCAGTCTTCTCATCATTTATGAGAGAGAGAGAAAAACAGCATGTGCTATACATCAAGAGGGCGACAGTTCTAGAGGTGGCAATGGAGTAGGACCTGAATAGGGACCGGAGGGGTGAACCCGATCTGGTTTTGGGTATGGGTTTAAAAATTGGATCCTGTGAATCAGGTTGGGTCAGGTCCAATCTTGGAAGTCCAGCTCTGGTGGGGTCTAGGTAATGTTTTTCGGGTACCAATATACGAAATGTATTTAAATGGGTGTGGTTTGCATAAGGTTGATGCCCTAAAAAATCAAAATAAGGCCCACCTTCAAATGGTATCGAAAGATATCATTATTGAAAATATTTGTGATAGTCTGAAAATCTTTGTGATCAAGCAAATCTATAAACATTTTAAAATTTAAAAAATTGATGGTCTAGAAAATGCTTCACAAGATGCACTATTTTCAAGAGTTGAAATCTATTTTTTTCATATCCATACATCATGAGGTCAAGATAATCAATTTGAGGATTTTTGGGCATCAAAACAACCTCTTTCTAGTGAATTTTTAAGGTGCGCCTTAATTTGATTGTTTAGGGTGACTCGGATCAGGCATCCCAAAAACCTATCCGAATCGGTGAATCGTCAATCCAGATCGGGAGTCGGCTGAATCGGTCAGATTAAGCCTTAAAAAAAATCACAAAAAATTATTAAAAGTTATTATAATTTTTTTTAAAAAAAATAATTCAATAAGAAATGGGGTTACTGCATTATTAACTTTTATTTTTTTATCAATATGTGAATATTGAGACTTTCGTTCCCTGTATGAAGATTCTCATCAAATATTTTTTGAAATCTAACTAAAGACAATATTATACATTAAAATTAGAAATATTGGTATGTATTTTATTATTTTATAATTATTTTACTATACAAATAAGAATAAATTTGAAATTATCTTATAATATCATTTAATTTAAAAATCTAAAAATTTAACAATAAATTAGGGGCTGGTACTAGACCCTACCCGACCCGTTGCCACCCCTTGACATGGCTCCCCCTCCCATCTCTCTAACTACAAACAAAAACAAAAAAAAAATAAAAGAAAAGGGTTTGAGATATCATTAAGCGATCTTAGAACCAGTGGCACCAACAGGTTTAATATCCATTGATTTTTCTATTGGTTTTCTCTAGTTTTCACTATTTTTCTATCTATTTTCAATAGCGATAAGACGAAATAAAGTAAATTTAGGAAGGTTGACCTTATGTAACATAGACCTAATACAATACTAGTTAGAGGGTGAGATTTGATTCAAGCATAAGGTTGTAAAAAGGTAAGAACATGGATAGAAATAGTGAAAAAATATATAGTGACGTTTAATCTTACTGAGGGTATGACGATTGATAGAGAAGAATGGAAGAACCTTATTCGTGTACTCAATCCCAAATAATTGAGATAAAACTTGGATGATGATGATCATTATGATTTTCAATAGGAAAAAAAAATCTAAAGAACCAATTTATGGGCAAGAAATTTCTAGACCAATGAGAACCATCACTCCATTTTTAAGATAACTGGGCCAAAGAATCCCTTCCTTGTCCTAAACAAACGAAGGGATCCATCCTCAATCTTCTACTACCTCCTCTCGTATATTTTCTTTCTTCTAAAATAAATTTGGAAAAAAAAAGAAGAAAAAAAGATATTTAAAAGAGCTTGAGTTCCACTTTGCTTAGATAGAGTGAGCAAGGAGGGTAGGAATGCAGTGGGAAGGTAAAAGAGAGTAGGTGAGCCACGAGTTTTGGATCCATCTATTGAATGCTTTGTAATTTTGACCTTTGTCCTGCTTATGTAAGCTTACATATGGAGTATTAACTAGTGGGTTGGATTCAGGACCACATCTCCTTTCCGAACCCAGACTCAGCCCACGCACCTTAGTCATGGTTTGGCCTTTGTGGTAAGGCCATTTCAAAATTTAAGACATACATGACAATAATAGGGAAAGGAGGTGGGGTCGTATAGAACCATATTTTTATTAGAATGAATAAAGGGGTAGCACCCCACACCCAAGTTACTACAATGTGGTTATCATTTTAACAGTCATTAAAAAAAATAACTCTAAAACCATTTGCAAAAATGGGTAGGAGCCTGTCTTCTCCACTTAATTATCAATAATAATAACAATAAAACAGAAATAAGAAACATAACAATAAAGGGTCCCCCTTATGCTACCAATTTTTATCTTGTTCGGATATAAACAGCTCCGTCAACCGTCCCCCGCACCATGTTAAGTTTGATGGTCAGAGGAGCTGTTTATCATCAACCAGGATATAAACAAGTAGTACAATATATTGGTTACATATCCCTCAAGGGAGAACCTGTCTAAAAATGGGAAAATTGTTGGTCTGTCCAAACTACTTAATAGGTGGCCTAGCTACACAAAAAAGACAGAAAAAAAAACTTGAACAAGTGAGTTGTTTAATATTATAGTTTTAACTTCGCCTTGATTCACGTTGGGAACGACTCCAAGAGAGAGACAAAAAAAAAAAGATATGGTTTTGGTGAGTCAGCCGATTCACCAATTACGTTTCGGTCCCTTATCTAACGTCCATCTCTATGATAGATCAAAAAATACTACCTCCACTGTAAGTTAAAATGGATGGTGATGAAATGAATTCAAAAGATAACATTTATATTTTTTGAAAAAGAAAAATTCCAAAATCAGATCATTGTCATGGTCTAGATTATCAAACCATAACAATTTGGATTGAAAAAACATATTTGAGATATATTTTGTTGGGAGACCGCAAGAAAATAGTGTGAGTCGGATGATTCACCAAACACTTTTTTTAAAATAAAAAAGAAAACCAAAAAAAAAATTTCCTCATAACTTTTTGGAGCATTTTGTTAGAACACTTTTATTTATATATATATATATATATAATCAAAAACTTTCCAGAAACAATTTTGGGACAAGTTTGATACTAAGCTACCAACTAGGCTTTAACTTTCCAGGAGCAATTTTGGGACAAGTTTGATACTAAGCTACCAACTAAGCCAAAGCCTAGAAAGATTCCAAGCTTTCAAATAAGGAGAATCCAACCACTACATTGTCAAAAAAGAAAATCCAACTATTAGGTGATCAATCCGACCACCTAACACACTAAAACAATAAATCCCATTGCAAAATCCTATTACTCCATTGGGCCTTAGTTATGAGAAACTAGGGTGTCTTTATGTAAAGTGCAAAGATTTGCTCTTTTTTGGGATGCCACATTTTAGGGATGTGATCTCTAGATCCGAAGGATCAATATCAAAGAATATATATATAGGAAAAAGATGAGGTTAGCCCACTAGTTCATGTGAACATATGAGCTCAACATCCCAGATTGATTATGGGTTGATCTGACGATCACGAATGCCTGATAGTGTTTGAATTTTAGTTTTTTTTTTTGCAAATCAAAATCACTTGAAAATTTAGACATGTGTTCATAAAAAATAGTTAAATCTTTGAAAAATATCAAAAAAATATTTTACATGAAATAAATTGATCAAAATACCCTTGAAATTCTTCAGAAGGTATTTTGATCAATTTTTTTTACGAATATTTTTATTTTTATTTTTATTAGATGCGACTTGATGAGAAGAACATACACTTAAAATTTCAAGTGCTTTAGATTTGTAGAAAAAAAACTAAAATTCAAAAACTACTGGACATCTGTGATCGTCAGATTGACCCAGATTCAATATGAATCGTTGGGCTTATATGTTCATATGAGCTAGTGGGCTAATCCTATATTTATATATATATATATATATATTCGCTCTTTATATGCCAAAAAAAATATTGACATCCCAATATTGAATTGGAACCGTCCAATATCTAGAGCAAAATTTCCAAGCATTTGGGAACTCAAAATCGAGCTTTTTTATCTTAAAAAGAATCATCTAGCATTACTTAGATAGATCCCCAATTTTCGGGTTGAAAAAATTCCCCAAGTAACAATTTTGCCCAAGGTAGTTGTTATGTACTATGCTCCCCCGAGAACATGCTACATGCAGCCGAAAGCCCAAATATAGAGAAGATTACTAATCCTATTACAAAATAAGAGGCTACTGTCCATTTTTTCAAATGGTTTAGGAGTTAATTTTAAAATGTATTATACATGATGGTGTTAATGAGAATGAAAACCACAGTAGTGATATTAATGAGAATAAAAACAATAACATGATGACCAGGTACTAAGGTGATACCACTGGCCGAGAGGACTTTTTCTATTGGGTTTTGCAATCCATGACTTCGGTTGGGAGGCAATCCCAAATAAATCACCTATTTCCCATGCAAACCCTAATATAATTGTCCGTGTAATCTTAGACGCATGCAGCTTTTAGACTTTTTTATTTTTTTTTATTTTTTCTGGTTTTCGTTCGAGCTTAGAAATTCTAACGACGTATTCGTTACTGCCAAAATTAGGGTTTCATCACACCCAACGAGAGAGAGAGGTTAGAGAAGCCATCAGCATTTCATGTTACCTCATTAGAGAGAGAAGGTACCTGAATCTCTGCAACTGAGCAGCCGTGTAACGCCATTAAAGTGAAAGCACAGTGCTTTAAAGCTCCGCTTACTCTAGCATAGCTCTTCCATGGATATTTCATCATCTTGTAAGGGCCATGGGGTGGCTCCCACAGAGCAAATCCAATCTGTTTAAGAAAAGGAATAAAATTTTGAAGTTCCAGAAATCTCTCGGGTACTTTGGTCATGGAAATTGCAGAAAAATTCACTAAAAATGGTGGACCCTTTTTTTCTTTTTTGATGATAGAAAACTCTGGCTCTCTGGCCATAGAAATTGAAGGAAAAAGAGTACATGAAACTGGGGAGTTTACGCATTTACTAGGTCTCTGATTCTCTGAACATGAAAATTTTCGAAAGGATGCATCAAAGATGAAGCTTCTAAAGTTGCAGAGATATCAGAACTTCCAAAATTAGGGAAATCTCTAGTTCTCTGACCTAATCGACACGACATGATTTGGGGCAAGTTTTAAACCTCTAAATAGATTATGGAAATCACTGAAAATTTCTGGTTATCTGATCATGGAAATTAAAGAATCCATTGAACAAAATGTTTACTGGTTTCCAACCGAACCATCGAAATGAAAAATAATGATCAATAAATATTGACAATGAATAAACAATCTATTAAAATCTCTAGTTCTCTGACCATGGAAAAGCATAAAGAATCCATCAGAAATTCAGAACAAAAAAAATACCAGAGTATCCTCTCTGCTCGTCGATTCCACAGCTGATCTGAACCCACTATAAACAGGATCATCAAGATATTTCGAACCGATCCTCTCTCTTTCCAGTCCTTGAAGGTACCCATCAACGCAGCCTGAAAGCCGTTTTTAAGACCTTCAATGCTCAGTATAAAAAAAATGCCATAGAAGAAAACATTGAGGAACCAGTCATATAATTTCAGACCTTCTAAAGAGGTAGCGACTCCATTAAAGCTCTTGACTACGAGCTTGTGAAGGTCCTCTCCAGCCCAAATTGGATAGATGAAGAGGTTAACAATAAAGCAAGCAGAGAGCCCAAATACTATCACTGTATATCTTTGAGCTGCTGTTTCTAAAAATGTCCTCTTTCGATAAGCAGAGACCATTACCGAGATAAACGTGAGCAAGAACAGTCTAAAGCCCAGATCATAGGATTTAAACTTTGGAGATATCTTCATGAAGGTGACTGATGAGCCTGTAGAGAGAGAAAACAGAGCAAAAACCATTGAAATTGAGTAAACATTGAAGAAGAAACAGAGGAGAAATTCTCCCGTTGAAATTCAGCAAATCTTGATTCAAAAATAACAAACGCAGAGGAGATTCCAGTGAAATGACATCTATAAAAGTTCTCAGGAACTTGGGATTTGAGAGCCTGACCTATGAGGAAAATGAAAGCAACTAGTACTTCTTCCCAATCTCCCATGAGTGCTGCAAGCTCCGAAAGGCCGAGAGCCAGAATTCCAGCTAATACAGTTCCTAAGCACAAGGTGAAACCTCTGCTCAATGTTGCTCCTGAAATTTAAGAAATTGAATCCATTAACAGAGAAACACAAGACGATTTCACTCTGAATAGAGAATAATGTGAAGTAGAGAGAGAAAGAGTGAGAGAGAGAGAAGCTCACTGAACGCACCTATGCTGAACTCGAAAACAGCAACGACTGCGAAGATACCCCAAGTCACAAAGCTCGAGAGATCCATTAATGGCACATCAAAGAAACCAATCAAACAAACAGTGGCCAAAGCCAAACCCATCTTAGCTCCAAAAATCACTCTTCTTGGATCTGCCTTTGCAAATTCCCAAGCATAAGAAGCGTTATCACATACCCCATCAATTCTCTCTCTAAAACCGCGACCAACTCGCCTGAAAAACTCACAGTTTTTGGCTTCAAAACTATCCGAATCGGACCAGAGCTCCTCATGTTTTACAGAGAGAAGGCCATGTTTGCTGTTCTCCATGAAAAATCCACCCCAATTCTTCTTCTTCTCTCTCTCTTCTTCTTTTATGTTCAATTGTCCATGGTTTTGGCCTTAGGAATGAATATCTGCTCTGCCATTCAACAGCCACGAGGCTTTTTTTATTGAAGGTCAAATCAATCATTTGAGGGAAATCGGTTTCTTACTATCAAATAGCCATAAAGCATGTTATTGGAGGTCTATCAATCATTTGAGCGAAAATCACTTTCTTACTGTGGAAAGCAAGTATGTGAAACACGTGATTGTCAAAGGAACGAGAGATAAAATATAGACGAATAACTGGTAGACAGATGAATAAATAATAGAGATTTAAATTTTAAAATATTTGACTTTGATAGACACATGAAGAAATAATAAATCTTTAAATTTGAAATATTTCATCACTCTTATTCTTAATGCACTCTTATTCTTAATGTTTTTAAGGAATCTAGATCCCCAAAGTTATGGATCGTTGAATATATATCTAACTACTCTTATTCTTTAAGGAAATAGTTTATTTAAGGTTTCAACCTTATACTGTACAGGTAAGGTGCACCAAAAAAGCCTCGTAGTGAAGGTTGTCATGCCGGAAAAAAATTGGATTTTTAGTCTTAAAAATAGCTCATCTTTTAACACATTATTTCGGACTGTCCATTTTCAAGTGTTTATTAGATCTACTTGATTATCACCGTTTTTGGAACTTTAAATTTCATAATTGGGGAAACAATAGATTTCCATATCAACTTAAGGCTTTGCAGTACTGAAACTGCATTTTCGACATAGTTTTGAGGTACACCTTAGTTCAATAGTATAAGGTTGATACCTTATACAAACCTCACCTATTATTTAATGGGTGTGGTTTGTATAAGGCTGAGGTCCCAAAAAATTATATTAAGGCATATCTCTAAAGGGTGCAGTTGGCATATGGATGCCTTCGTAGTTGTAGAGGTAAGGTGCACCTTCAAATTTTATCGTGGTATATAATTTTGATGTAAAATGTTTTTAGGATTATCTCAAAATCTATTTTTATGTCTAATTATAAAATTTAAATTTTAAAAATGGTTAAAATAAAGTAGATCTAGAAACATATGAAAATCTTGAAAATGGACGGTGTAGATAATATGTTGTAAAATGCACTATTTATGAGACTTAAAATCTTTTTATTTTTTATGGTCATACATCTCAATGTCGAGATGATCAATCAAAGGATTTTTTAGTATTAAAACTACATTTTTCGATGGATTTTTGAGGTGCATCCGTAGTTCTGTATTATAAGGTTGCATCCTTATATAAACTTTTTCCATCTCTATGAAGAAAGTTTTCTTAGTGGAGAAAAAAATGTTGTGACTGCCTGAAAATTTAAAAAAAGTATAGATTGAGCTGATCTATAGCACTTGAAAATATTGAAAATTGATGGCTCAAGTAATCTATTACAATATACATAATTTTTCAGATTTAAAATCTTTTTTTTTTCATGGATATACATCTCAAAGTCGAGATGATTGATTTTGAGGGTTTTTCGACATCAAAATAATATCTTCTAGTCAATTTTAGACATGAACCTTAATCTGATTGTTTAGGGCCTCATCCTTGTATAAACTTTTTCCTTTTAATAATTTGGATTGAGTAGAATCTCAACCCCAAGTGTGGTGGATCTCTTGAAGTGAGATCGTGCTTTTAAATATGGAAAATAGTACAGTTTTCTTGCCACACGATCTAAATTTTACATCTTGCCTTGGTCAAAAACTAACATTAGGTAGGAAAATTTAATGGCTCAGCTCAAACCCTCCAATACGCCTTGGATATCGAAGATTTTCGAGATGGGTGTATACTATGAGATTATTTATTTTTGGTATAAAGAGGTCACAATTATTTTTAGCTATTAGATGTGAAATCTAATAGATGAAAGTATGTTCCAACATTTGAGAAATTTTATATTGAAATTTGTACTCAAACAATGGCACATCTCTAACCATCCGATTTCAAATCTAATGGTCAATAATGTTGTGACCTCCTTGTTCATTGTATATATTTTTTCGTTTTCATTATATATGTATATATACATGTGTGTGTGAAGAAATTTATATAACATGTCAACTTTATATTGTGGAAATAAGACACACATAAAAAAACATTGAAGAACCTTTTAATTGATCAACTAAATCTTGAAATATATTACCATGAAAAAATTGAAGTCCTAAAAATAATGCATCTTGTAACATACTATCAGAAACATCTATTTTTAAAATTTTCAAATTTTTGTATATTTGCTTGATTTGCACCATTTTTTAAGCTCTAAATTTTACATTAGGGTAGAAGTAGATTTTCAAGGTATGTAAAGTTTTCTCAAGGAATGTGAAGAAGCGCCTCATTTTGATTGTTTAAGGTGTACACAACACCCACACATATGCGAAATTAATCATAAGGTTCATGAAATATGATCTAAAAGAAAATTAAAGTTATTAATTACATGTTTGGTTCGCGTGAAAATATTTTCCAAAGGACATTTTCACATAAAAAAAATCTCTCATGTGGTTAAATATGAAAATATTTTTATATCAATTAGTTGCCAATTGGTTTACAAAGATGCACTAAGAACAATTTGTATAAAAATATTCTCACACTGAATCACATGAGAGAATTTTTTCTATATAGAAATAATTTTTACTTAAAAATAAATAGTAATTAAATTAACTAACTAGTAGTCACGTTTAGTATTTGTGTGTAAAATAATTTTTACTTAGTAAACAATTTTACTAGTATAGTAAAAAATTCTACTCTATA